ATAATAGGTAAGAGAGGAATCGGATGAATAAAGTAAAAAATCATAAGTATTGATGGTGGTGAGATAATAAGAGCGTGAGTTGTATAAATACAATTGCGTTGGTTATATATATTACAGGGTGGAAAGTAGAGTTGAAGTGTTTGTGATTACAATATTTTTCGGAAAAGGACGGTTATCGTTATAAAAGAGCTTATGCAAAAGGGTGATGAAAGATGCTAAAATGCTATTGATTGCAAAAAAAAATAAAATAAATAAATACAAGAAAGAGTAAATGCTATTAGAGTATAGATGAATGCTGAAGGGGATACCACGGGAATAAAAAAAAAAATATCTTGTTTTATAAAAATGCTTTGCGTAGATTAAAAAAAAAAAAAAAGAAATCATAAAATATTGTGTTGACAAGGTGATTTTATCGTAAATAATTTTCTAACTCGGAAACCTCCAAAGAATTCTCGAACAAGCTAAATGCGCTATATATGGCCTGGTATATACATGCTCCTTTGCTCACTTTAATTAAAAATTTGTATGTACGTATATATATATATAGGAAAAAAAAAATACTAATCATAATACTAAGCATACTAGACTAAATACTGTCCCGCAATATTTTATACTGTGTATGTTTATGGATGTATAATGCGGTGATAATAATAAAAGATTTGTGGTTACTGGAAGGCTAATCTCTGGTGATTATTGTGGATGTTTGGAAGAAAGATAATCACAATCTGCACCATTAGTCATTCCTTTTTAACGCCACAGGTAAAAAAATAATTATAATTATTTATCTATTTGTTTTTCGTGCGAGCTCGAATGACCCATCATCATTTTTGCCCGTATTTGCCATTTCGACTTGCCAATTAGTGTTGTTGACGATTTAGTATGGGATTTCACCGTTGCTAACCATTTCCAACATTTCATCCACCTTTAACTTCGCTCGATTCAAGGCTTCTCGGGCTGCCGTGAAGTCGGTTGGTCGGCGATCCAGCGTGTAATCCCGATAAGCCTCACGATAAGATGATGTGGTGCTTGTTGAATTTGTTGGTCGAGTTTTTGAGCTCGGCGTTCCCTTCGAGTTCGGTGCTTTCGATTTCGAACCCGCACCCGGCGTACCGGGTACCGAGTTGCTCTTTATACCTTTTGCCGGTGTCCGGGCTGCCGTCGGTGTCGTTGCCTTTGTCATGGTTCGCGAGGATGTTTTTGAGGATGTACTTTTGGTGGAGGACGCCCTTGTCGCTGATGATTTTGACCCGCTCGCTACCGATGTTCGCCTAGTTGAGGGTGTGCTCTGGGTTTTCTTTTCAACCCCCGGGGCAACTAAACCGAAGTCGCGATTTTTAATCATTGCCAGCTGCGAGTTTAAATTCTTGATCGTTAAACCTTCGGCATCCCGAAGGATATCAGTTAATAAAGCTGATTCCTCTTCAATCGAAGTGGCATGACTGCTAACACTTGCACGCGACTCGGGTCGTGAAGAGTATGAAGGCGAGAGTGTAGGTGAAAACATGCGCTGCTGATGTTTCCTGTGATGAGATTCCCGAGAAGGACTTGGATCTCGTGTGTAGGATGGAGAAGAGTACGTCGAGTTATGGGACCGAGGGGTTGACGAGGATGATTTTAACGCTCGATCTCTTGAAGACATGTATGGTTGCGAATGACGCTTTCCGTGGAGGTCAAATTGGGAAGCGTACTCGTCCTCCTCATCGTCCTCCATATAGAGTTTGTTGCGTGAGGGGCTCAAGACGCTCGGCTGGTAGTGTCGATCTTTCACATCATCCAAATGCCACGATGATTTGGGTGAACCGGATGACGCCTTCGATGTTACCGACGACGCATACATTTGCTCTTTATAGATTCTAGGATCTAGTCCGTTGCTTGTTCGCCATCTTTGTTCAATACCATCATATAGACTATTCGGGGTGGCCGGACTACTTGGCGTCGATACCGAACTAATATCGCTAAAGCTCGATCGATGTCGTAAGTGTTCCAAATAGGACGGATGAGCGGTTGGAGGTTGACCGTCATCATGAATAGAGCTTTTTGAAGACGAAGCGTATGACGGATTCCGAGTGTGACCACCGCCGGATGGTAGATCAACATAGTGTCCATATTGTTCTTGATCGGAAGTTTTGAACGATCGACCGTTGTATCTCGACTCATAGTCCTCATGATCACGTCTACTATTGCTGCTCTGCTTTTGCACGCTGTTACGTGCGTCAAATCCATTGTCTCGTTGACGAATTTCGTTATAAATATCGTAATCTCTATGCCTATCGTGTCGTCGACTATCGTAGTCCTTTCTACTATTACTACTACTACTACCGCCACCATTAATGCTATGACGCTCATCATACACATGATCCCACCTCTTATCGTCATAAGCATAATCTCTCCTCTTCTCATCATATACATTGTCTCTCCTCTTCTCATCATATACATTGTCTCTCCTCTTCTCATCATACACGTTATCTCTTCTCTTCTCGTCATAGACGTCATCCCTTCTCCTTCCATCGTAGACATCATCCCTTCTCCTCTCATCGTAGACATCATCCCTTCTCCTCTCATCGTAGACATCATCCCTTCTCCTCTCATCGTAGACATCATCTCTTCTCCTTTCATCATAGCCGTTGCCTTTTCTCCTCTCATCATATAAATTATCCCTCCTCTTTTCATCAAAAGCATTATCCCTTCGATTATCATTGTACAGATGTTCGTAACCACGTCTGCGTTCGTCGATGTATGTGGAACGATTACGCGAATCTCTGTCCGGATCGCGTCGACGTGCGTCCACCGGATATGATGGGTCGTCAACTAAGTCGCGGTCATCGCGGCTGTTCAACACAATCGAATTGCGCAGAGGACTTCCACCCAAACTTTTCGACCTTGTCAGGTCTATACTACTCTTCGCCCTATGCAGAGTACGAGGGGTGGCAACGGTATAAATGTCTTGATCGATTTGTTTGTTGGATTTTGTGGTGGAGGGCGGAGAGGAATAATCCGAGTCCAAATTGCCATAGTCACGAAAATCAGCGGAGGTAGTGGGTCGCTTAGGATGGGCCCTTATTGAGTTTGCGTCGGTAACTGTTGGTTTAAGCTTTCTCGATTCACGTGATAACGGATCATCGAGATCCAAGCCTTCTAACCACTTGAGAGGAGCCGGTAGTGGAGCCGACCACGAACCTCTGCGCTTCGAGGAATCGCCCTTCTCTGGATGCGCCTCCTTCTCCACACGACCGTACTCTTGCCAATCGATGAACTGTTGTTTATACTCGGACTCCATGGGATTCGATAGATCACGTGCGATTTCCATCGTCTTCAACTGATCGGCCAGAGAGTACATGGAATAGGAACGGGATTTTTTTGACAGGCGACTGGCCTCCAGTGCAACAAGCTTTTTTGCTCGAGGATCTAAACTTGAGGCCAGTGATGAGGGCTTTTGGTAAATATAAAAAATCATGGACAATGTTAGAAATTGGTTGGTATTGTTTTGGGAAAGCCCGATGATGGGCGATGTAACAAACAAACAGGAATAATGAGAGTATTATGATTGATGGGAATGATAGAATGAGGCATGGCGAAGTATTTCAATATCTCAAGTCTATATTCACGGACCGACTCTCATACTAATCGTAGAACTTGACAATTATGGAAATGGGGTGTGAGTCGCATACCTCTTGAACGCTCTCCTTTCTTAGGCCATCTTTCCATTTCGAGACATGATTCGTGGAGAATTTTTCCACGTTCGATGAATCCTCAGGTTCTCCCACGAAGCCTCCATTATGTTTCGCTGAAACAACGTCAACGAGGGGTGGCGGAGTTGGCGTCGGAGGTAGGTCTAGATGTTTCAAGTCGGGGGTCTTTATCGCCGGTGGAATATCGGTCTTCGTAGTATCGGCCAGCCTGTCAACTACTACTGGGGATTGTGAAGCATTTCTTGATATTGATGACACCTCGGGAGCATTTGAATTAACGATAGCGGGAGTCGGTGAAGGTGTTGATACGGTGGGTGGTTCCCTCCATGTGAATTCTCGCTGATATTCGGTGACTGTACGTTCCTTCGGTCGATTCACCTGAACCATTGGCAACCTCCATGCATAAGAACTTTGATATTCACTACCGCTCACATTATCTGCTGGTTTTGATGTAGGGGTGGTGGTTGATGTGATGGCTGGTGTTTTTTCGGCGGACATTTTTGCGCTACCGGATTATCTCTTAAACAAAAAAAAACAAGATCCTTACGACCTCTCTAATAGTATTGTTGAGTTTGTTTTTTTTTTTTTTTTTGTGAAAGAGAAAAGATAATTAATTTAGGAAGAAAAAAGAAAAAAAAAATGATGGCTAAAGATAATGCAGGTGGTGGAAAGCTTTTATAAAAATTTTTTTTTTTTTCAATACAAAATAAACCTATAAAAGTCTATATATTGCAGCTCTTATTGTTAATTATCAATAGCCCGTATCCTTCATAACGCAACTATCAGTTGTGTTCACTGCGTTTTCTCCGTTTGCGGTATTTTCGCAACTGGCGTCTCGTTGGAACTTTGTCGACGAGCTCTGAGGGAATGACGAGGCGCTGAGCTGGACGAAGGAGAATTTGTGCTGTTGGGAGTAATTAAACTATGCCAATTTATTGATTATTATTTATTATTATTATTATTATTATTATTTTTTTTTTTTTGCGATAAACAGGTTTTTGTTTATCTTTGGGGTTCGAGTTGTGGTTGAGCTTTTTTTTTTACTTTTTCCAGAGTGATTTATATATCATCCCTGAATGACATATTCTAAATTGTATATATATATATATATATATATGTGTATATATATGTATTTATGCTCCCAATCTATAATACCAAAAAAAAAAAAAAAGAAATACTGATTATTAATGATGTGTTTACTCTAAAATTTATTTAGGGGGAATAAGGGTGAGGAGGATGTTAAAAATAATGCGCGGAAGGGTTGGATAATGTTGACAAGGAGGAAGGAAGGGAATGGATATATAGTAGTCGAATTTGATGTATAAATAAAATAAATACATCATAAATAAAAATATTTATATTGGGTGGGTGGATGTATACGAATGAAAGGTGTGTGTGATATGTGAGGGTGGACAGGCAGTAATAAAAGTACGTGTTTGATTCCTCGCTTAAAAAAGGTTGATTGGGATGAGCACACGGTGTATATTATTCTTACTTTAAAATGGATACACAGCCCAGAAATACCTTGCAAATGAGGAAATTTCGACCGTCGATTGCGATGTGATGGCGCCGCCAATAAAAAAAAAAATTTTTTTTTTTTTTTCAAGAGTACTGCAATAATAGGAAATTTATATAATGTGATAAGTCACATTATTAATAATAAATAAATGCGTGTCCTCATTTATTCTGTCATGCAAATTGAAACACATTTAAAAATTTCAATTTATATATATAAAGGTGCGACAGTATTTTGACGGATCATTTTTATTGCGTACATCCGTTTCAATTATTACTATCGTAAATTACCTGCATACAAGATATACAAGAGATCCGGTGATATGTAATTCGGTCAGCTGGGGATTAACATTGATGTCGTTCAAGGTGACGGTGACTCTGGGTAATGTGTGTGTGCATGCACGTAACATCACCACCACCAACCGGCAAACACTTCTTCGAGCAAACATAAAGAACGACGCTAAAAAAAAGATAAGGAAATGGGTGCTGTGCGAACTTACGCACGATCAGGGTAATAAGGCGATGCGCATACACGAAAAAGAAAATGCCCAAATGCATCAACGCGTATATCTTCTTGCTGCTGCATGTCGACATACGTAATCTCTGATAATCATGACAAGATCTCCATGACGTAATATCATTCCCGCAAATAACAACGCCTTGGAACAGAAGCACTTTGGGAATGGATGATTATTTTTATAGAGAGTGACTTCGATGCTTTGTAATTTCGAATTTGAACATAATATGATGCAAGTTTCGAAGAAGAAAATCATCTTTTCAATGGATTGGGCTCATCGTAGCCAAGAATGGAATGTAAATTCCCGATTCGCAATAAACGATGACAATAGCATCAAGATCAAAGAATATGTAAAAAAAAAAAGAAAAACGAAAAAAAAAAAAAAAAAAAAAAAAAAAAAAAAGTTTTTTTTTGCTCACAATGATTGGATGTATTGAATGCACACAATCAGGAAGATTGAAAGGCGGATGTGTACGATTACATGCCGCCTGTTGCCCAGTATTGCCTTTATTTCTTTCTCAGGTCGTTCACTCGGTTTTTCCCTACCATCTTATCTTCCGCCCTTCCGACTATCACATGATGCACACCCAATGTACGTGTTCACCTTCCTATCCGGGATTTAATTTAGGTTGTTTATGTGAGACTATACTACCGTCTGATACCATTTCCGGGAAATGACATCATCACGCCTAGTGGAGAAACTTGTTGTTGACACAATTTCATTCTGTGGTAATTGGTTAGGGAGGATGCAAAGAGAAACCACTATGTGTTCTCAAACGTCACCACCAGATGTCACCGTAACACGCTCTATTGTGCCACATCCGAGGATACACTGCTTTTAGCCATTTTTTTAACCGTTTGAATAGTGAAACAAGTTGTCAAATAATGAAATATAATGGAAATTTTTGACATCTCGTTATCTGCCCGATTAAGTATCAGCACATTTTTCTTTAAAAAAAATTCCGCATCGAAATCTCTGGAATTATTGACCAAATTTGGTCTGGATTGGATCGGAATTCATCCGCCATCGACTTGGCCGTTTAAGCACGATCAACGCGGCCGACCTTTGAGACCGGAGCACGGACCGTCTCATCGTACACACGCACGTACCTATTCGACGGGTCGCACCCTCCAAAGCGAAAGTTTTTAGGTCCTGTGCGCACGCATGTTATAAGATAAGTTTCGGTAGTCAGAACAGCTGTCGTGCTGACCGTACGTGCATCTTTATTTATTTACCCGTTCATTTCTTCTTAACATACAGTATACTGTATATGTACATATTTCATCAACGTACATAACGTACACTCGGACATATTTTCTCGTTGAGAAATGAAATGCAAAACAAAAATGTACACATCGTCACCTCGGTCTCACACAATCCCTATTGCCGCTGTGTCAACTGAAATTACACTTCCCGGGAATAGTAATTGTTTTGTGTGTCAGACGCAGCATGTCTCTTCTCGTCACTATTCGCTGTCCTCCTCGTTGGGCGCTTCAGATTTGGCGTCACAAAGTCTGGTGAACCTTCCGGAGCGCCGTGATGATGATATTGAAAAGGAAATGGGCTAATTTCATAAATTGCCACCGCTTTCAGGATTTGGATGGAAAGGAAATGTAGGTGGTGCCCAGAGAGACACAGGTCACTGTCTTTTCATTGTCTCCCTCCAAAACAGCAAACTGGCCATTACTTCCAAATCCAAATCCGATTCACGTTTTTCTCTATTAAGTTACACTCTTAAGTTACGCCTTTTTGCCAAAAAATTTACGCCCAATCGAAAACTTCGGAGAATATTCTAGGCGATCGATTTTGGTGGCGTCCTTGGTTCTGTCAAAATTTTTGAGGGGGGAGGGAAAGGATCAGGGCAACAAGAGAATTGGTTACGCACGTTTCATTGCCACTACTTTCTTTTTTTTTTTTTTTTTTCTACAAGGAGAGTCAAACAATCAGGAAACGGAGAACTTGCTAAACCGTCGGAATTCACGAAATAACCAAGGGAGAATTAACAAAGAAGGAGGATGAGAGATTGGTCTGATTGGGAAAATGACATGCAATCAGGGGAGAATAATGACACGAACCGTGCACCTTGAAGTAGGATGTGATGATGCGCTACTCACGCAAATGTTTTCGATGGCAACTATTTTACTTCCACAAGGAGTACCCACAGATCTCCAAGGTTTGTCCGAAATTTGTAATGACATCCTTGTAAACCATTAAAGGATGTTAATCGTTTTGCGGGTCGGCATCACCTTTGCAATTGTGGTTCCGTAAATGTATTATCATCCCCTTTAATTGAATTTTTCTCATTCGTCCCAGAGTCATGCGATTGATATTACATGGTTCCATAGGTGGTCTGCATTCGATTATTCAAAAAGGAACTCTGAAACGTTCTCACGGTTTCCTTTATTCGGAATCGCAACACTATTATAATAGGTGCATCTTGAAATGTGATAGGTAAGGGGGGAATAAGGTAATCTGTCAAAGGACAATGGAGCACAAATCCATCGAGCACGCTGATGTATCACACGCAGTATGAACTGTGAATGGCAAATACCAAATATAGTTAATAAAGGAAACAGATTATTAACGGATATATATTGTTCGTGCTCAATTTAGATTTGATGGATTACTGTCTACATTTATTATTCTTTTGCGTAAGAAATCGCGGTGCACCTTATAATCATTATTATTATTCTCAACACGTGACCTCATCTGGTTGAATCCTCTTTACCACTTCCCAAGCCAAGATTCAAATGTCAATTGCTCGTTGGTCATTTTTTGATCCGTCCGCGTGCCTTGACAACTACGTGACATCACTCGTGTGATGTGAGAGAAGGGGAAATATGAACTTCAATTTCACGACTGTCGCATAAAAACTGACGCACAGATTTGATAAAAATCATCCTGTAAACTTTTCCGTCGAGATACCTCTCACCAAGATTTCACCATTACGCCAAATACTACTTAATACCATTTATGTGTCTCTCTTATCCACCCTTTTCTTTCTTTCTTTCTTTCTTTTCACCTATAACCCCCAGAAACAAATATTTGGTAAATATTTGATATTTCGTAAATTCGAACGAATACATGAAATCATCCGACACACATTTAACACATTTTCCCTTATTATGATAATTTCTAGTTCCATTACAAAGGATGTCAGTTGCCTATTTTGTTTAGCTACGATCAGAGTCAAGTGCTCGTGAAAATCAAAAGTCGCACGCCCATTAAAAATTTGCCCAACGCGAAAACTATACCAATTGACTAACATAGAAACAAAATCACCGAATATCGAATCGAAGCAAGCAAGATAATTCTTTACCATGCAATGCGAACCTCCGATTCTCCAAGCGTTTTGATTGAGCACATACGACAGACTCACTCCTATCCGGCGCACCACACACCATCGGGGAGTCCAGAGAAAGTTAGATGGCAACCGAAGGTATGGTACACGAATACTGAATAGTGTCACCAATCAAATTCGGAATGTGACTTCCCGCGTTTCCCCTGAATTTAGATAATTTAAACTTTTTTTTTTTTTTGAACAATTTGTGTAATCCACTCATTCTTCCTCAAAATTAAAGCGTCGTACGAAATGAGCGGAGTCTTAAAATCATCGATTTTTGGACATTCATTCATCCAATGGGTCAACAATCCATCTGGTCATATTACCCGTCATTTTATCATTATTAATTATTAATTATTGATTGGTGGAAACACTAATTCGAAGAAAACATACTTATTCATGCTATGCACACCTTGCCGACCACCATATTACCCTTTTACATAATAAGAAAATACCGTATTTGTGAAAGGTAGAAATAACGCTAATGAAAAAAAAGAAAGTTATCACATTTTTTTTTTCCCTTGAATAATACCCTTCAGATCTCCCTTTGTTCTCTAATTTGCTGGTCATCAGAATGTAAACAAATGATAAACAAACAAACGATTGGTTGAATGGAAAACTCTAACGTGTTACGTAAGAGGCTCTCTAAGCTTTTTGAAATTTCAGCATGCTCCCCTTCCTGACTAATTATTAAGATCTAACGGGATTGTAATAAGTCAGTCCCTGTCAATCCAATTGACTAACCAACGCAGCCACCAATATTGAGAAACCGGTACGCGTGATCGGGATTCTCGTGTGAAAATAAGGTTAGTATGGGTGGGTGTGGGTGTTGGGTATGGCCGAACACCAAATGTAACATGTTCCTGAAAATTTCCTACCGGAATCATCTGCCCTCGTTTTCCCGAGGGAAATGACCAACAACCTGTTCTTATTTTACTTGGACGCTGTAGACGATTTGGGTTGTCTGTTTGTTTATTTACCTTTTGTTTACCTGTACCGTATGCAGTCGGTTACGTACATGGTTCTCGTTTTCATTTGTATTTGCGGGCTTTCTATGACCTGTCCGAGGTCGTAGAGATTCCTTGCATGTATGATGCAAAATCAGCCACTCACTCCCTTACGACATACATATTTCCTGATCTAACCCAAATCTCCCGGTTCGATTACGTTATCTCCATTTCGTACCTTAAAATTACCTAATCTCCGCGCTGTAGCTTTCTTCTCCCTTGGTTTGGCAACGGCCCAACGCTAATTGGTCAATTACTTGAACCCGAACAAGTTCAACCTAAATAAGTTTGTTTGTATGGTAAATAGGAGTAGCGATAACGTGCTTGAAACAATTCATTGTTATACTTCCATTATTCCGAATTTCTCTGTCCTTACCATTGATGTAACGATTAAATCTTCCTTTTCTGTGCATGCGAATGGTTTGAGCAATCATTGTGTCGACCATTCCCATGATAGGGTTAAGCAAAATGCGCTGCCAAATAAAGTTTATGTGAAGCTTAATGTTAGGATCCAATGATTTAATTTGCTGAATGCGTGTAACCAGTGACCATTAAAGGAATAAGCGTATAACAGATAACGGTTTTCTAATATGCGTACTACATGTACTTTTTTTTCAAAGAAAAATTCCACTGAGCAAACTGCAAATGTTATTCGCTTTCAGAATATTCACATGACTGCTATGTGGCATTAATTATTTCCCAAATGAAAAAAAAAAAAAAAAGGAATGCATCATTTACCGTTTGGACAAACGTCCATCCATCTGCATCAACCTTCACTCGGACTTCACCAGAGAAAGTCGCCTTTGACTTGAGTGTAAAGAATTTCTCGCTGACACATAGCATGGCGTGCGTGCCCGCCGTGTCTTGAATCTCCCGATCCTTCAAAGGATCGACGCCTAGAAAAAAAAAATTTTTTTTTTTTCTCACATTACAGTAATTCCGAAATTACCAATTGAAGTATTGTTTACCCGGTGTTCATTCACCATACTGAAAAGAGTGTTCACAATGAACCGAAAAAAAAAGTCGATGAAAAAATTAGAAGATGCGTGCATAGTTCTTTGAGGCTGTGCTATTGGCGGCGATTATACTTTTTGGAATTTTTGTTTTTATTTATGTCTCATTGTTGGATGCATACAAGAGTGTTTCTGGCAGATGCCCACGCCCCGATGTTTGCGCCAACCGTTCATTGTCGCTCTCGCATGTTTTCTGTAAAGGTTTCAACCTTCGGAAAAACAGCTGCCTAAGAGGCAAAGGTGAAACGTTCGCGTTTCACCTCGCAACCGTCGACTTCATGCAGATGTCGGGCAATCCAGGTTCCATGATTTAGAAAGTATTAATCATGCATCCGACAAATTAACAAACAGTCTTCCATGTTTTCAAGCTCCCCCCCCCAATGGAACGAATCTTACTTGTCATTTTGAACGCGCAAAGCAAATTCGCAAAACAGAATGCATGCATGCATATGCTGAGAAGCCAACACATGCAAAAGTGAAGATATCAAATTTGTATTTGTTTTGAAGAATTGTCTTTAAAATGATGCATCCCGAGAAATAAACATGCAAGAGAAACGGTTTATTTATCTCCTAACATATCTCACATATGTCAAAATTGGGAGTGTTAATAAAGGCACACGCCGCAATCACAAATAATCATTAATGCAAGGGACATGATACATTTACCTACTCGTTGCTTTTTTTTTTTTCCTCTTACATAAGATGTTGGTATGCGGGATTACCGAAATGGTAAGCTTTCGACGCTACCGTCTGTGATATTACCGAAGAAATCGGAATCGGAATAGGAATCTGTGCGCACAGTGGGCACAGACGGGATGCGTTTCATCTATTGACGCTGAGATGGATAGGCGTTCTCCGTTCGACCCGTATTCATTGGCGCGAAAGCGTAAAAATTTAATCAAAATGCGAGAAATCGAATAGATGTCACGTACTGCATGCACGGCATTTTTCCTATTATGAAATATTTATTAGCTGGTCATAAAATATTATCAGATTGCAACGCATATTATTGTTAAATCTTATTTTGTATAGCGAAGCAAACGAAAATTCAACAACCGAGGAGAGAAAAAAAAAAATACTGCACATATAGCGTATATACTGTAATGTACATGAAATATACTGTACATGCAAAATAATCATAATAAACTATACTCGCTATAATGGATTTTTTTTGTGACGTAGCATCTACATCATATCAAATTTCACCGTGTATACAGTATATGCGTGCTAGCAGCAGTTATTGATCCTTTTCCTTTTTTTTTTTTTTCTGCCCTGTTTTTTTCTTGCTGGTGTAATTGACTTTCGATTTGTTATGTCGTTTAATACTTTGAACGCTTTTGAAAATTAGTTTTCATAAAAAAAAAAATTTTTTTTTAGAGAATTATTTCCTAGAAAGTTAGATCGAGATCAATTGAAAATGCGATCAAAGTGGCTTCGTCATAATAAAATAAGGTACATAACTGATCCCATCTACTAGGATCGAAACTTGCGAAGACACAGACCCACCCACATCAAGTCGCGGTTAATAGGAACCGTAAGAGGCTAGCAAGAAAAAATAGCATCTTACGGGGATCTGATTTAACCTCGTCAAGACACATTCAAACGGGTGGTGCAAGCAGAGAATAGCAAATAACAAGCTTTCTGATCACACATTCACATCCCTTCTTTTTCGTGTAAGTTCTATGTCACGTTCACGAACTTCTTGCGGAGCCCCCGCACCATTAATGATATTACGAGGATCTCGATGACTGTAACTAGAGAAGAAGCATAACACCTCACTCCTTGTTACAGGAATAGCATAACGCCTTCGGAAAAGCATAACACCTCACTCCTTTGTAGTATGCACCCATCTTATCCCCATAAACGTCATTGCTTATAACGTCTGTCAAGAAGTTCGGAAGTGACCAAAATTCACATTGAAGCGGACTAAGATATCTCGTGTAGATATTCTTCGCTAAAATGACATTATGAAAATGAAGAAGCGAACGCTTTTTTTTGATCTCGGATAAACTTACCTTCCCTGAAATAGTTGCATTTAGCTAATTGCTAATCTTCCAATAGGTTATTTCGAATTTTCCAATATCCTTTGAACTTACTAATAATTCGCTTATGCGATTAGCGTTACTGGTCCTGCTATCGGGTCACAAGCTTAAACCTTTTTTCGTTCATATCGAGAATGAAGTGAAGTAACTTCGGTCCTTTTGGAGAGTAAAAGAATAATCAAACCCAAACATAACGCGTGTCTCTTTTATGATTTACGCGACGAATTTCTAAAATTCCGATTGGTTGGGCAATGAATTATGTCAAGCACCCGAGTCGGACTTTAAAACAATGTTCTTATATCAAGAGTAATTAATAGAACACCGTTATTTTTCTGATATTCATTCAAAGCCAAAGGAGAATTAGAAAAAATGAGATCGTCTGGCTAAACTCATTAATCAATTAAATAATAATACCAGAGGGCAAAGATACAGTAAATACAGTATTTAGATCAAAAATATTAATATTGATTTTAATTCTATAATTAATTAAACAATAGATTTTATTAAAAATCAAAAATAAATATGTTGTATATGGTAAGTTTTATATATATATATTTTTTGAGTACCCATAGCCAGGCTAGATTGTGAGTTTATTAATCAATTGAAAACATAAGTGCATTTTCATTCGAGCAGCATAATAAATACTATAGCTAAACTATTTTCATTCTATCTAACTCATCATAAGCATAAAAGCCACTAAGTTTGATCTTGAGAACAATATTTTACTTCACAATATCTTTAGATAAAAACCCTTCTACTTCATTGCATCATTATCAGCAGATTGTCACTGCCATATGTCATACCAAGCCATTGAAATACAGAAAACTACAAAAGAATAGGTTGAAAAAAAAAAGAAGAAGTGTATATCTAAAAATGTTCAAATAGATATATAAGAAAACAAAAATAAAAAAGAAAATAAAATTTATTAATTTCCTTCAAAGACCTGCTTCTCAAGATTTCTTTACAATAAAAAATATCTGATTGAGATATTCTTTCTTCTCCTGACCATCTAAAGAACCTATATATTTTTGATCTTGATTTCCTTCTTGTGTACTATTTAAAAAAACTTATTGCCTAGTGGAAGCCTTTATTTTCAGGGCATACTTTGTCCCAACTTTTTTTAGGCAGTGATTTTTATTCACCTGTAATAAGAAAGTGACTTATGATAAATCCCAGGTTCTTATGTAATCCAGTAGAAACTGAACCATATTGTTCCAGTATGATATTTTCCAGCAGGCATGCCTAGTTAAAGAAATTTTACTAATATACATTTTTTATTATTCAAAAGGTCAAATTCCTCAATAATTCTTTTATTTAATAATGGTAGAAGAATCTTAAAAGTGATAGAAATTCTCATCAATTATAATATCCTTTAACAACTTTTGAGAAAATATATTCTCAACTGTAACTAAAAGATTGGAACTTAGCATAAACTAGAAACTATTTAGTCTTATTACTTAACTAAAATAAAAAGGTGACCTTGGTCTTGAAC